GTTTCTTCCTCTTAGCTAGGAAATAGGCTCAAGATCTGAATCTCAAGTAAAATGTTAAAAACCCCTTCACGGATGATGTCACTTTCTACTCTAGTTTTCCTTTCCTTGATGTCTTTCCCCGTTTAATCAGACATCTTGGTAGACCGATGGACAGTTGTATATTTTTCTTGTCCCTTACTTTATGGTCCCCTCACTGCAGTTGGGCTTCTGATCCCCTCGCGGGACTGCAACAGCTGTGAAGAAGGTCATCCAGCCTCTCCTGTTGCCAAGCCTGCTGGGCGCCCGTCAGGCCTTCTGAGAGGAGCTTGCTGCTCACTTTACTGATCATGCCCATCTTCAAATCCTCTCATCTGAAAGAACATGCAGTTCTGGGTCTTTGTCCCTCCCCATCATACTTCTGCCATCTGACTGAAGTCAAGGTTCCTCCATTTGTCGGTCAGTGGCCCTTCTCCATTTACATTCCGCCTGGATGATTTCACTACTTTCAAGGTTTCAATTATCACTAATATTCAAGATGTAACAATAGGCGCTGATATGACTCAGGGCCCTTCACTGAGTTTATAAGTGGACGACTCCCAGTGCTCCCCTGGCTCCACCAGCAGGCCTTTCAACTGTGTCTTGTGACTCTGACTGGATCGAGAGAATTGGGTTCCAGGAGCAATAAATTCTTCAGCTGAGCTAAGTTAGTACAATTCGCAGTTTTTGAGAGCTTCCTCCTGCAGCATCATGAGGAAAGGAGGCAAGGACCTTGGACGTGGCCTTCACAGTCCTAGTCACCCTGCAATCTACATGTACATTCCATTTTCATCCTCGAATACCTGTGAGACATCTGTCATCTGGCCTCCTAATAAAGTTCTAGTTTATTTGTATCTTTAAGAGAGTTTTATTAACTTACAAAAATACTATTTTAAATGAACCACACTTTCTAAATAGATATGATTAGATGTAATTGCATTTTATTGTCCTGGTTGGTTTGATCCTTTGGGGACTTACTTTTAAATTGTTAGATGAGGCCTGAGTATTATATAGTCCACAGCTAATTTTATGTCACTATTAATGCAATAAAAGAAGGAATAGGCTGTCCATTCCCAAGGACTTAGCCACTGAAAACCCTATGGGATCAGAGATGGGGCCAGAAGGTGAGCCCTTTGGGTAGGAAGGCACTGAAAATATGACCGAGGCAGAGCCGCCGTCTCAAAGTAGAGTCCGCCCTAATGACGTGGATGGAGTAAAGCCTGCAGGGGTGAAGCCTCTGAGATCTTCCGTTGCTGGGGTGGGGTGGGGGGCCATAACTCAACATGAGAAGAAACAACCACAAACATTAATAATTGTAACTTGGAATGTACGCAGTATGACTAGGGAAACTGGAAGTTAAAAATGAAATGGAACATTGGTATTCCAGGCATGAGTGAGCTGAAATGGACTGGTATTGGCCATTTTGTTTCAGAAAATCATTATGATTTACTCTGCTGGGGATGACACGGTCAAGAGGAATGGGGTTGCATTCATCGTTAAAAAGGACATTTCGAGATCTACCAGATCGACAGAGTTGTCTGTGATAGGTGATAAGGTAGTGTCGATCTGCACAGAAGGGAATTCAATCAATACACCTGTTATTCAAATGTATGCACCAACCACTAAAGCTAGTGATGAAGAAATTTAAGAATTCTACCAACATCTTTGCTCTGAAATTGATCAAATCAAGATGCATTGATAATTATTGGCAATTGGAATGCAAAAGTTGGAAAGAAAGAGTAAGAAACAGTAGTTAGAAAATATGGCTTGGTGATAAAAACCAAGATCGTATGATAGAATTTTGCAAGACCAACGACTTTATCCCAAATGCATTTTTCATTTTTCTTTCAACAACACAAAAGATGACTCTACACATAGACTTTTCCAGATGGAATAAATAAAAAATCAAATTGACTACATCTGTGGGAAGAGGTAATGAAAGAGTTCACTATCAGCAACTAAAACCAGGCCAAGGGCTGACTGTGGAACAGATCATCAATCGCTCATATGATGGTTCACGTTGATGCTAAAGAAAACTAAAGTCCACGAGAGCCAAAATAGGACCTTGAGTCTACCCCACCTGAATTTCAAGAGCATCTCAAGAACAGATTTGTTTCATTGAACACTAGTGACAAAGGACCTGATGAGCTGTGGGAGGACAACAACAAAAAACAAACCAAGCTCACTGACTGCTGTGCTGACTCATAGCAACCCCCTCGGTGGGTTTCCAAGACTGTAATTGTTTCCGGGAGTAGAAAGCCCAGTCTTTCCCCAAGAAAACAAAAGATCATTAAAAAGGCGGGAAAGAAAGAAAAGACCAGTGTGGATGTCAGAAGAGACTCTGAAACTTACTCTTAACCCTAGAGTAATTAAGTCAAATGGAATAAATGATGACATCAAAGAGTTGAACAGAAAATTTCAAAGGGCCGCTCAAAGACGAAGTCAATATTACATAATGCAATGTGCAAAGACCTAGTTATAAAAACAAAAAGGGAGAACATGCTTAGTATATCTTTTATTATTATCATTATTTTATTAGGGGCTCATACAACTCTTATCACAATCCATACATACATCAATTGTGTCAAGTACATTTGTTGCCATCATCACTCTCAAAACATTTGTTTCTGCTTGAGCCCTTGGTATCAGCTCATTTTTTTCTCCTCCCTACCTGCTCCTCCCTCCCTCATGAACCGTTGATAATTTATAAATTATGATTATTTTGTCATATATTACCCACTCCCTTCATCCACTTTTCTGTTGTCCATCCCCCAAGGAGGAGTTTATATGCAGATCCTTGCAATCCGTTTCCTCTTTCTACCCCACCCTCCCGGTATCGCCACTCTCACCACTGGTCCTGAAGGGATCATCTGTCCTGGATTCCCAGTGTTTCCAGTTCCTATCTGCACCAGTGTACATCCTGGGGTCTAGCCAGATTTGTAAGGGAACATGATAGTGTGGGGGTGGAGGAGCATTTAGGAACTAGAGGAAAGTTTGATGTTTCATCGTTGCTACACTGTACCCTGACTAGCTTGTCTCCTCCCCGAGCCCCTTCTGTAAGGGGATGTCCAGTTGCCTACAGATGGGTCGTGGTCCCCAATCTGCACTCCCCCTCATTCACAATGATTTGATTTTTTATTCTTTGATGCCTGATACCTGATCCTATTGACACCTCGTGACCACACAGGCTGGTTCTTTCATGTGGGCTTTGTTGCTTCTGAGCTAGATGGCCGCTTGATTACCTTCAAGCTTTTAAGACCCCAGACACTATACTTTTTGATAGCCGGGCACCATCAGCTTTCTTCACCACATTTGCTTATTCACCCGCTTTGTCTTCAGCGGTTGTGTCGGGAAACAGTGCGTTTTACAGACGAGGAATCTGAGACATAAGTAGCGACATCGGTCCTCCCTCTCGTTTAGAGGCGCTTGCTAGGCTCTCGTGTTCCTCGGGACATTAGCTGAGTGTTTTAAGTTCACGTAAACCTAACCACGGCCACCCTCCGCTACACGCATGCGCCCGTTCTTTCCCCACGGGAGACCGCCTCCACGTTGCCTTCCGCGTTATGTCTTTTGGCCCCAGTGCCTTGCCATCACGCAGGCGGAGACGTTGGCTAGCGGAGGTAATGGCGACGGGGACTCCGGACTCGCAAGCGAGATTCGGCCAGTCCGTGAAAGGGCTTCTCACCGAGAAGGTGAACACCTGTGGTACGGACGTGATCGCGCTCACCAAGCAGGTGCTGAAGGGCTCCCGGAGCTCTGAGGTGAGATGGAAAGGGACTAACGCCGGCACGAACACGGCGGACCCCCTTCCTTTCGTCGTTCCGAGCGAGGGTGTCACGTTGCATCTTGGGATTTGTAGGCTGTGACCTTGTCGCGGAGAGCAGGGCGGTGCTCGGAGGGCGCGGCTTGCATTCTGGGATATGTAGTCCCTAGATAGGGTGGTGGTTTGTTAGCTGGTGGATTTGGATAACCCCGTTAGTTATCCCAGATTCCAGTCCGAGTTTCGAACGCTTATGATTGCTTCTGTAAGATTTAAGGCCTTGGAATCATGGGGCAGTTCTACTCGGCATTATGCAGTCTATATTAGTTGGAATTAACGCCATGGAAGTGGGATTTGTTTTGTTTTGTGTTAATGTTGGAGATCACCAGGTCTTTTCTCTCACAAAGCTATTGAACTGCTGACCTTTCAGTTAGCAGCTATTGTTTTACCATGGCTCCTTGGGACGGGAGAGGTAGGGCAGAAAGTAGCACAATGATTAAGAACCAGTGCTAACCAAGTTTTCATTTGTTTCTCAGGTGTTTTGTTTGTTTGTTTGTTTGTTTATGATCAGACCCTTTCAGCTCTCACAATCCGCAGTTTTGCCTCAACATCCCAAATTCTTTTCACACTTTGTACATCATCTCTGGACTTACTCTTTGCTGGTTTGTCTTTCTGTCCACGTTCTTGGTTTTGTTTTTTCCTTTTATGGTTTTCCTTTCTTTTATTAGTGGTATTCTTTTCCAATTCCCCATTCTCCAGTCCTTCTGGTTTTTCTTACCAAAAGGCTTTATATATATGTATACCCTGGTTATCAACAAAAAAGATATCCGCCTCCTCCCCCCCATGCATTCCTACGGTAGGCATTTATCCAAGAGAAATGAGAACATATGCCCACCCAAAGATTTGTCTCTACATGTGCTTCCTTTATTTATCAAGTGTGCAAACTGGAAATCATCCAAATACTTGTTACCAGGTAAATAAATGTACAAAATGTGTAACTGGTGGCCCAATCATTCCATTCATAAATATTGACCCAAGAAAATACATGTCCATGTAAAGACTTATTGACTCTTCACAGTAACTATTCCCACTAGCTTTGGGCCTAGTAGAGTTGTCTTTCTATAAGACAACTGGATTAAGGTTGTGCTTGCATTTACTATAACATTGTGAGTTTTTATGAAAGACAGAAGAAGTTTCAGGTTTTACAGTCTACTTTGGGGAAGTGTGCCAAACCACGCGCAAATGGCGCCAGGGGCTCACCACTGAACATGGGCAACCTTGTGGGACTGCACACCCACACGCAGCAGCCTGAGGCCAGAGAGACCACAGCACTGCCAAGGGAGCGGGGCAGAAGTCAAAGGGGGAAGAAAAACAAGCGGGGAAAGGGGAAAAGGGGGCTTGGGGTAGGCAGTCAAAGTATTTGAGGCCTCTGGCGGAGGCGTGGTGGAAGGTACTGGTTGATCCCATTGGCTAAATTGAGCCCACCTGGGCCTATTTTGGGCCCCACAGGTGTACCGCCCACCTGTCTGGGGTGGGGTGGGGGCTGATTTGGTGCATGCCCAGTTAGTCTTTCTGGCTGGCTAAGGCTCGCTTGATTCTCTTCCAGCCTCCTGTAGGGGCCTTCAGGCATGTGGAGGGACAGCCCTCTGCCTCTGTCTTGCTACCTAATGTTTGCATGTGTGTGTGTGTGTGTGTGTGTTGTTGTTGTTAACTGTTGCTGATTCCAACTCACAGTGACCCTGTGTGCAAAAGAATGAAATACTCCCCAGTACTGTGCCGGCCTCACACTTGGTGTGTTTGAGCCCACTGTTGCAGCCACTGTGTCGGTCCATCTTGCTGAAGGTCTTTCTCCTTTCCAAGTCTGCCCCCATAAGGATCTACACAGCCTCAGATCCACAGGGCCAGTCCTACTCTGCCCTGAAGGGTCGCTAGGAGTTGGAACTGGCTTGATGGCAGGATTTGTTGATGGTGGTTGGTTTTGTGTGGAGTGGGGGGAGGTTAAGGTCACATACTGCCTAGGCCCCGGTGTGGTAGAGTTAGGGTTTGAAACTAGGCAGGTTGGTTGTCGTTGGACACTGACTCTAATATGCTAGCTTGATTGAGTGGTGAAGAGACCTCCGTGCACCATTGTCTGCCCTGATATGACTTGCTCCCTCCCTCCCTTTCCTTGTGCATTTTTCACATGAGCTTCTGTACTAGAATTAGCCCTAGGTATGCCAGGAGCTGCATGCAGCATCTGACCAGAAGTCCCTGCTGACCTCTGCTGTCCTGACCCGAGGCCACCCAGTGAATCAGAGCTGTGCCTTCCTGCTTTCCTTGCCTTGATCTAGGGCCCAGCTGTCAGGGAGCTCATTAGAATCAACCTTCACTTTTCCCCCTTCTTTCTCTACCCACCCTCATCTGAGCCTTTCCCCCTATCCCCCACCATAGTGGGCTTATTATCATAAAACAGCTACATGCCTCTTTTCACAGCTCTCCCTCCTCTTCCTGGGGGGCACAAACAGCTAGATTACTAGCTGAAAGGTTGGCAGTTCTAACCCACCCGGAGGTGCCTTAGAAGACAGGCCTGACAGTGTGCGTCGGAGAGATCAGAGCCTTGAAAACCCAGTGGAGCTGTTGGAGTCGGCGCACGTGGGGTCACCAAGTATCAGAACTGACTCCGTGGTAACTAACCCAATGCGCCTGTCCAGCCACCCACATCTCACCTCTCAGGGAACCTGTCAAACCAGCCTTTCTTTACAAATGAGACTCTTAGCACTTGACTAATAAGCCATGTAGAGAGCTCAGCCGTTACAAGCACTTGACTGCTCTGGCGGTGGCCTTCAGAGCAGATGTGGAGCCCCCGCCCCGGATTGCCGTCATGCAAGTGAAATGGATTTTCAACACAAACAAATGGAAAATTACCCATTGCATTTTGAGTGCTTATGGTTGTAAAGGGTGGGGGAAGTGGAAGAGGGGAGTGGGTGATGTGTAACAGCTGCAGAGAGATCACAGGAAGTTGGGAAATTTTGATGACCCCCCATTTTATTTTTGTCTTCCAGCTGCTAGGTCAGGCAGCTCGAAACATGGTACTACAGGAGGATGCTATCTTGCACTCAGAAGATGTAAGAAACAATTTCTTTTATGACTTAGGTTTTTGTGTGCCTCATTTGTGTGCCTATGGAGAAGTGGAATGTTCTATTATACCCCCCTTCTCTTTTTATGCAGAGTTTAAGGAAAATGGCAATAATAACCACACATCTGCAGTACCAGTAAGTATGACCTCTCTCCCATGATCCTCAGCCTGCCTCCCAGTGCCTTTGTGCGTCAGAGCACTTTCCAGTGGAGGCAAGAGTGGTGTCATGTCCCCTCTGTAGCAAAGGCGCCTGAGACTGCAGGTGAGGCGAGGCGAGCAGCAGCAAGAGCCCCCTGAGACAGCGTCCTCTGTGCTAGTTTGAGGACCCTCCGAGAGAGAAGTAAAACGCATGAAGAGTAGGCATTCTGCCAGGACTGTGCCAGCTCAGTGCGTGGTACATTTCAGGCATGTAAGTGGTTATTGTTGACTGTGCCCAAGGTCCCTCCTGAGGAGGCTGCTCCTCCCCTGGTGTATTGACACTCTACCAGAGTGAGGGATGTAGCCCAACATACTCTGTGCATGGTTCAGATTCAGTCTGGGTGTGTGAAATCAAAGGGTCATACACCTTACATACATACAGAGTGGCCGTGACCAAATGGAATTGCTATTCCTACCTTACATTCCCAGGTATACCAGGGGCCTAGCTACATATCCAAGTTATCCAGGAGATTTTGAACCATAGTATTTTGACCCAGGAAGGCCTTTTTTTCATTCTAATTTCTGAAGGAAGTATAAATTAATTAGGTTTAAAAATCATATTTCAGCTTGGTCTGTATTTTATGTAGTTAATATTTTATTTAAATAGCTATTAGAAATGTCCAACGGGGCATTTAACGCTTGCTATTTAAACAGCCAATGTTTGCCATGGCCACTCTAAGAGTGTGCATGTGAGATATGTGATCATTTGGCTTCGCATACCCAGACTGAAGTTGAGCCATGCATGTAGTATGCTGGACTTCGTCCCTTGCTCTGGGAGAGTATTAATACACCTCTAGGTGTAGATTCGAGTCCTGGTGGCACAGTGGGTAAGCTAACCGAAAAGTTGGTGGTTTGAACCAAGCAGCTGCTCTTCAGGAGAAAGATGAGGCAGCTACTTCTAAGATTCATAGCCTTCTAAATCTGATGAGGTAGCTCCACTCTGTCTTAAAGGGCCACTCTGAGTCAGATGACGCCACAGCAACAGGTCTTGGGTTGGTTGGTTTGTTTTAGATTTAGAATCCATCCTTTCAGCAGTTCTGTGCTCAAATAAGAAAGCCTGTTCTGGGCCCAGTCTCAGGACAGGACTGACAGAATGTGACAGAAACTAGAAATTTATTGTCTCTGGGTAGTTGGTCATAAATTACTTTGACTAATTCACTGAGCTTAATTTCTTCTTTCATTTTCTGATTTAGGCAAGAAGCTATTCAGAAGAAGTAAGTAACCCGGGGAGCGGGGAGGACAAACCGAAACAAGCTGGGGGGTTGCACTGCCGCCCGAAGGAGCAGCTTGTCACTCTGGCTGGCTTACGGGTTTAGAGTGGCATCCGTTCTGGGGTGAATGAAGTGTATTCCTTCAAAGGCATATGTTATGCAGTTCACTGCTAGCACAGGCTTTCTGAACGTACAGAATGCTTTTTACACTGGGAACGTTTGTTGAGTAAATGTGCTAGAGTCAGTATATAGCTTTGATTTCCTTAGGTTAAGTTTGTCCCCTGTAATATTATTTGCACAATTACTTTGCCAAGCCTTTCTTTATAGTTTAAACACCTCAGGGACACAAATGGAGCAGCCTACATTTTGACTTAGCGTTTATAGTATGTCTACTTTAAAATGCAAAAAACTTGTACAAGGAGCTGTCCTTTTGCCCGTTCCAGATAAGCCCTCTTTCCTGTTCTATTTCTAGCGTTGAGCAGTCGTCAGATCTCCAGGACCAGCTGAAGCACCTGCTGAAATAGGCAAGCATGTAGCTTTGCCTGATGCCAAGGAGGAAAAACCTTACTGTAACCGTCATGCCATGGGCTGAGTCTCCACTTTCTTCTCCAAACGTTTTGCTAGCAAAGCTTTGTGATGCTGACAGGTTTTTCATGAACAGAGGCTAAGGTGGCTGAATTTGGGAAGCACTTCTTGAACTGGACCACCCCCACTTTAAGTTGCTCTGTTTAATTTATGGTACTAAAGGACAATTAAAAGACAGCTTCGTTTTACTTCTTGAACTGTTAATATGTTGAAACTTATTGTCTAAATGTGATTCTTAGCAAACACTGAATCGTGTTTATAAACAAGAAATAGAATTTTTAATGTGAACAAGTAAGGGTTCTAATACAAGTATTTGTTTCAAAGATTATTTCTTTTCATCGTGCATTGAAGAGATATTTTTCTTTTATGGCCACAGAACGGTGCTTTTCAAGTAATTCAGAGAAGATACTTATTTTATCTGTTTCAGCAAATTTTGACATAGTTTGCTTAGATGAGAACCAGGTTCATGGTCTCCGAGCTGGCCAGCTGCAGCCTCCTGCCTTGACCTGCATTCCGAGGATTTCTTTGTTGTTGTGACTCTTAAGATTAAGTGGCCTTGGGTTCAGTTTGCAGTTTTCTTTATCATCAACACATTGATTTGTGTGACATTATTGCCCAACATGAAGGTAGTTGAGTTCACTATGTGGCATCAGATTGTGTCCTAAGGTTGTGACGATGTTATCTGCGTAGACACTTGCCTGTTTACTAGATACGGCTCGTTAAATAAATGCCTTCCCCACTCGCCTGTTGTCAAGTCTGGATTGTTGCCAAGTCAGCTTGTTTGAGTTTCAAATGAAACATGCTCCTCCTCTAGTTCAGTCCTTCTTAATGCTGAGGAGGCAATCTGTCACCAACGCTGACGCAGGAATTGTACTGCCACTGGAAAACCGAGACGACAAATAAAATCCAATTTAATTCAGACTGTGTGTCACCAAGTCAACTAAGCAAATAAGCTGGCACCCAATTCTCATCCTACATTAACATTTGCTTGAGGTTAAAAAGTTAGGTGTGAAGTATTTGAGAATTTAGGCATTCATAACACAAAAGTCTGTTTTAATTGCTGCTGCATGTAAATGTGCTCAATTTACCTTTAAAACGAAGGACCACAAATTTAGGAAAGAACAAACACGTTGTAATCATTCATATAGCTAAGAAGCAAATACTTTATTTTTTTAAAGTTTTTTAACTTTTGTTTTTAATCATTTTATTGGGGGCTCTTACAGTTCTTATAATAATCCATACACCAATTGTTTCAACCACATTTGTACATATGTTGCCATCAATATTTCCAAAACATTTTCTTTTTTTTTTTTAAATCATTTTACTGGGGGCTCGTACAACTCATCACAATCCATACATACATCCACTGTGTCAAGCACATTTGTACGTTTGTTGCCATCATCAGCTTCCTACTTGAGCCCTACATCTTTCTATCAGCTCCTCATTTTTCCCCTCCCTGCTCTACTCTCCTTCATGAACCCATAATTTATGAATTTTTTTTTATATCTTACCCTGTCTGATGTCTCCCGTCACCTACTTTTCTGTTGTCCATCCCCCAGGGAAGGGGCTATATATAGATCATTGTGATCAGTTCCTCCTTTCCCCCCCCTTCTCTGTCCCCTCCTGGTATCAGTACTCTCATTGGTCCTGAGAGTAGTTGTCCAGTTGTCCAAATATTTTGATGTTGTGATGTGGGTAAAGTTGACCAAGCACTGACTTTCCATTCAACAATTCAGACACATTTCAACTTGTGACTTTGATTGCATTCCCCACAGTGTGACAGCCCCCTTCTCCCTTCTGCCCTGTATTTACCATTTCCTTTTCTCGGGGCTGGGACAAATATTGAAAAAGTACTGCTTGCCTGCCTGTACAGGCAGACCTTGGAGATACTAGGGGTTTAGTTCTAGACCACTAATAAAGTGAATGTCACAAACAAGCGAGTCATGACGTTCTTGGTGTCCGGTACATATGAAAATTATTTTTTCACTGTACCCTAGTCTGTTAAGGAGTCCTAAAGGCCTAGTGGCAAGGTCAGTTGTTCATAACCACTATTGGGCTCCTCAGGAGAAAGATGAGGTTTTTCACTTGTGTAAAGAGTGACAGTCTCAGAAACTCACAGGGCAGTTCTCCCCTGACCTACAGGGTTGCTGAGTCAGTCGACGACTCCATGGTAATGAATTTGAATTTTTGTTTGGTAGTCTGTTAAGTGTAAAATAGCATGAAAAAACCTGACATGCTAGGGTGGTAGTCACCTAATTTAGTGTCAATTTAAGGATTAAGAGTGTAGGGGTGGAGTCTAGGCTGTCAATCTGGAGATAGCCAATGAGATTTCTGTGAGCATGGCCTTCCTAGAATTCTGGGAAATGTAGTCCTTCCTCCTTGGAGGCAAATGAGACCTCTCTCTCTGCTACTCCCTGGGAGACACTGCAGAGGTCAAGCCACATGGACGCAACCAGAGCTCAGAAGCTGGAAAAGTCAGAGAGACCCCTGCCAGCATTGAGATGCTTATGAGGCCACTATAAGAATTTTCAAAATGTAACACAGACACACTGTGAGCATCTGCTATTGGAGAAGTGGAGCTGATAGACTTGCTTAAGGCAGGGTTGCCACAAGCCCTCAATTTGTAAAAAAACAAAACAGAACCAAACAGTATTTGATAAGTTCAGTAAAGTGAAGCACAATAAAAGAAGATATGCCTGTACTTCCAACATACAGAAAATGATGGTAAGTTACCTAATTTATTTGATGAAGTAAGGTTTTTCTTTGTTAAAAGATAAAAAGGAAGACCATGACATGCAAGTAAGATATTTTAATTAATTTAAAAAAATCATTTCATTGGGACTCATACAACTCATCACAATCCACACATACAACAGTTGTGTAAAGCACACATACATTCATTGCCCTCATCATTCTCAAAACTCTTGCTTTCCGCTTAGGCTCCTGGAATCAGCTCCTCATTTTCCTTCCCCCCCTCTCTCCCTGGTCCCACTCCCTCATGAACCCTTGATAATTTATAAATTATTATTTTATTATATCTTACACTGCCCAGCGTCTCCCTTCACCCACTTTTCTGTTGCCCATTCCCTGATAATTTTATTAACAGATTTTAAAATCAATAAAATTTCAGAAAACTTTAACAGAAATATGTTGAATTATTCAGGTAATGTGATGTTCATTCAGGATTACAAATTTAACGTCATAGTTGTAAATTCTAGTTCTTTAATAAGAAACAATACCCTTGTATCAATGTAATGTCGATGAAAAAGGCACTTGAAAAAAATTGCACAACTATTTCTTTTTTTTAAAACTATTTCTAACACTTTAAAAAGCCCAAAACAGAATTTTTATCTAAATGAATATGCTTTAAAATCAAGAATCAATATATTTGGAAAAGAAGAATTAGAGCCACATCTTTCAGAATATTAGAGATGTGCAGGCCTCAGAAACCATTCCATTCTAGCCCATGGTTGATAGATGAAATGATTCCAAACTCAATGCTGTCAAGTCAGTTCCGACTACTGGCAACCCTATAGGGCAGAGTAGAACTGCCCCTTCGGTTTCTCAGGCTGTAAATCTTTTAAATTTTATTTTATTTTAAATACTTTTATTGGAGGCGCTTACATCTCATCACAATCCATATATTCATCCAGTGTGTCAAGCACATTCGCAGTATGCCACCATCATAATTTTCAAAGCATTCTCTTCCCACTTGAGCCCCTGATATCAGCTCCCCATTTCTTCCCCCTCCCTCCCCTGCCCACCCTCCCTCATGAACCCTTGATAAGTTATAATTATTTCCATATCTGACATCGTCCTCCATGGCCCCTCACCTACTTTTCCATTCCCCTCCCCCTGGGAGGGGTTCTAGATTGGCTGTAAATCTTTATGGGAGCAGAAAGCCTCATCTTTTTTCATGGAGTAGGCTGGTGGTTTCAAACTGAAAACCTTGTGGTTAGCAGCTGTGATAAGTAGGTTTATTGTGCCAACCTGGCCAATAGGAACATGTGGGATTAATCAGGTGGCAGTTTGATTAGAGGGCAAAAACATAAATAGCTCAGCAAAGCCTGCCCTGTCTCTTGCTCGCTGGTGATCAGATCCACGTGAGGTTGCTTTAGTTAGTTATCTGCCTCTACTTGTGAGCAACATCTGTGGAACAAGTCAACCCATGGATAGTGTTGCTGGAGTTTGAGGTTCCTTTGAGACCTGCTGTGTCACGCTGCTGGTGTGTACATCGCTTGAACTTGAGGCTGGTGGATCCTGTCATCTTGCATTGCTTGAGTTCGCTATCCCATCCTGGCCTGCTTTGCTCAGCTCCTGAGCTGCTGACTGTTGGTGACCCGCCCTGAAGTTTGCTGCCTGTGGGCGCACTCTGCCTTCATTGGCCGAGGGAAGACTCAGCTGTCTGCTACCTTGACTGTGGACCGGCAGCCCTCATGAGTTGAAGGACTTATAATATATTGAGTTGAACTGAGCCTTCTGTACTATTGTGTGGACTAATTAGCTGTTCTATTCCTTCGTGCTGTATAAGCCTATCGATACAGAATGAAGGAATATATATATATATATAAAATCCTAAGTGTCCTGGTTTTGTTTCTCTAGAGAACCCTGCTTAACACCACAGCCCAGCACGCTGTGCTACCAGAGCTCCGTGAAGTGACTCATCCAAGGTCAATGGTTGGTCTTCCAATTACTAATCTAGTTCTCTCCTACCTGTTACTTCCCTTTAAATAGAAACAAGGTTGCTACCTGTCATTTCTAGTGTTTAACATAATATGAAAAAAGTTCTTAAAAAGACAAGGATCTTGGAAGTGTTTGAGTCCAGTCAATTTACCCCTGTACTGCATCTCTGGCAAGTCATCAGTCACCTGATCATCTTAATGTCTGCTCCAAAGCTTCCACTGATTGGGGAACCCTTTGCTTAAAATGCTGGCCATGTGGCAAAGTTCTATTTCTTGAAATCTGGTATATAAATCTTTTTGTTTGTTTGTTTATAAATCTAACCCCACCCTGCCTGTCTGGATCATCTTGGAGTCATCAGACCAGTCATTTCTCAAGTGGGATGTGTGGAGATTGTGCAGAGGTTGAAGGTAAGGAGAAAAAACGTGAAATGCTCTTCTGTTTTTTTGGTAAATTTAGCTTTGGGGTGAAAGGGAGGGCAATATATAATGGGGGAGGTGCTCAGCAAAAAATGATCCAGGCAAAGGAAGACACTTGGAGCAGAAGAGTTCAAGGCAACAGAAATAAATACTATTATATACACAATCCTGCAATAACCATCATAATCTGCAAGTGTCTGCATACATAGGCATTCAAGCTGAGCAGGGGTGGGCTGGAGAAAGACTGTTCCAACAACTATGTATAGGCTTGACAGGATAGATCTACATGCGTATTTACAGGCATTACAAGGAATTCATGAATACCAGGAAAGCACACAGGGAGCAAAGTGCAGCAGGCTCTGTAGACAAAAGGCAGACACCCTGAGGGAACGGGTTGCAGGGCCTGGGGGCTCAGGATCATAGCCTCAGGATTTAGCATTCTTCTTAGACAAGGTGTCCAGGTCAATTTGGCACAGCAGTCCACACAGCCATTGTCCCACAGCCTCCTTTGGTGAGTAGTGACTGCCGGAGGTCATAACTACTGGTCTCTCCCCAGCTGCTGCAAAGAGGGCAGAGCGTCAAAGGTGTGTGGAAACAATGAGTCCCAAGTACGAATGGCCCACGCAAAACCCTGAGACCAAAA